GACCCTGCTTCGGCAGGGGGGTTGGACTAGATGACCCACAGAGGTCCCTTCCAACCCCAAACATCCTGTGATTCTGTGGCTTTGGGCTCTGCAGCAGCGCTGGGGATGGGTTTAACGCTAGCTGGGAAGGGGACAGCTCCAAGGGGCAGCAGGGCGCTGATGTGCTCCAAACTGTGCTGGAGCTGCTGGTTATTTCCTCTTTCAGTGCTGAGTGAAGCGACCGTGGGCCAAGCAGAGGCTGGGGAGACCTGGGCGCCCACCTCAGCATTTGGGTGAAGCAGAGGGTGTCTCACTCCCTCGTGTTTCCAGGGCCTGGCGAACCCAGTGCAGGGCCCCGGGCTGCCTTCATGAGGTCTCTGAATCATGCAGCTCACACCAGCGTGGATGCATGCTGCGAACTTGAGGCTGTTGGAAAATGTTGACGGGCTGAGCCCAAATGCTCTTAACTTCCCCTGCCCTGTTGCAATCCCTGTTCGGGGAAGGCGTGAGCAGGAAGTGGTCTTGCTCTGCCCAGTGTTGTTGTGGTGCCTCTTTGTGCTTTCCCTCCTTGCCCTGAGCGCTGCTTTGGTGCTCCTGTCCTGCTACCCCAGCTCTTTTCTGCCCTTCTGGCTGCAGGGCTGGGAGCCAGAGCTCACGGGGAAAGCGTCTTTCACCCTATTTCTTTTGTGTATGAATCCAAGGCTACACTTGAAGAGATGGAAGGTGCCCTGAGGATCTGCTCTGAGCTGGATGTAGCTCTTCTTTACCACTCCTGGGGAGTGGGGGCAGCTGAGGCTGGCTGGGTTTAGTTCCTGCTCTGCGAGCCAAGTGGCAAAGCCAAAACATGAGTCGCAGACCAGCCAGGCCCAGCACTGTAGAGATCATCCCTGAAGGTCGCCGGGCATGTGAGCTGGGGGGTGGCCTCCCTCCACGCTCCCTGGCCACGGCATGGTTCCTTGTTTGTGTGTGTCACTGCAGGGGAGGGGGACACCGTGGTTCTGCAGGCGGGAGGAGTGACTGGCATTACCCCTGCCTGGTTTGGGGCCGGCTCACCTGGCAGCGTTTGTACATCCTCCCAGTGTGCAGGGTGCTGAGCCCTGAGTCGCATGTGGAGGGGTTTAGCACACAGAGATGGTGGGGACATGCCTGCTGTGAGTCTGGCAGGTGTCCCTATGCTCTCCTGTGGGACCAGTTTACCTGCAGGTCTTTGCTGTGGGCCTGGCAAGGCTCCTCCAGGCTGGGGGACATGGTCCTGCCCCTGTACTACTATTACTGCTGGGCACACATCTGGCTTACTGTCACCCCGGCCTCCAGGCTGCAACTCCGAGAGAAAGGGAGCAGTAGGATGCGTGCAGTGGCCTCTGCTGCTTTTAAGCATTTCAGAAGTCTCCCATTTCCTCTTTTTCTGGCCATACACGAGATCGGGGTCACACAGCCACTGGCTCTAGTCAGCAGTGGTAGAGCCAGCCCTTCACCCTCTTTATCTGGAGTGGAGCAGACAGTACCACGCTGCCTGCGCTTATCTGGCCCTCATGGCCAGGTCTCTGTCTCTTTTCCAGCTGCGCGCCCTGCGCCTTGCAAGGAGCAGGTGTCTGTTCTGGTCTGCAGCCGTGCCTCCTGCCTGTGAGCTCAGAGCAAGGCAGGGTTTTGGTGCAAGCACCTCTGCGTCCGCTCCAGCTGTGCGGGGCTGGGTGTGACTCCCGGCTGCAGCTTGGCACGGGAGAGGAGCACTTGGGGTACAGCAGGGCAAGCTGCCCCTGGAATCCCTCCCTGGAAAGGAAGGGCTTTTTTGGGTTTCTCAGGACTCCACATTGGTGTCTCCTGCCTGTGTTGGAGTGCAAATGTGATGGTCAGTGCGGGCACAGCCTTGCTCCTCTCGCCTCCCCTGTGAGAGAGAATTGCTCATGACTGGCCACCCAGTGCCGTGGCTCTTGAGTGGGGCTGAGCCGTCGGGTGATGTGGATGGAGACCGTGCTGGGGCACGGGGCTGAGGGTTGGCCTTCAGCCTGGTGCGGCCTGCGGGTGCTCAGCAGGGTCAGGGAACGGAATGTGGGCACAACAGTCACAGCAATCCTCTTGTGGGCAGAGACGGATGGGTCTGGGCTGTCTGTCCTACGCTGATGTGGGAGGGCTGGGGTCACTGGGGCCGGGCTCTGGGGCCACACTCTGCCCTGCGGCTCTACGTTCCAGACCCAGTCTTCCCAGTAACCCTCCTGTGTGCTGTGCAGTGCTTCTGGGCCTCTGCCCTGTGTCTCTGCAGGCTGGGGAGGAAGCAGCAGTGCGGGGCTGGTAGCTGGTGCCCATCTGAAGGTTCCCATGTTGCTCTTGCTTTCCAGGGATCTGCTATACAATATTTGACCTGGGCTTCCGCTTCGATGTGGCCTGGTGAGTTCCCTGTAAATACTGGCGTCCTCAGGGCTGTCTGAGGAGGTGGGCGGTGTTGGCAGTGTCTGCAGAGAACAGCGCTTGCTTTTGAGTGACGGTCACTGCATCGCAGGGGAACAGGAGCTACAGTGAGCAGGGCCTTTGCTCCTCATGAGGTGGGCTAGATGTAGCCCACATGTATGTGTGGCTGGCTCCATACGCGGTCCTGCGCAGCCATCACTGCCCTTCCAGCCACTCTTGCAGCCAAGGCTTCCGCTTCGTAGTGAGGGTTTGGGAGGAGGATCTCAGTCCATGCGGGTGAGGGTCCTGGGTCGCTGGCTGGCAGAGAGAGGCTCTTGTGTCCCACTGACTGGCAGTGCCCATCCCATCTTGATCTGTGTTATGGGGTGGGGGGTACCTGCTGTGGGGCTGTACATCATGATCTGGGGGGCTCAGCCTGTGTGCTAACTCAGGGCACTCCTTCCTCTCCAGGTTCCTGACGGAGACCTCACCCTTCATGTGGTGCAACCTGGGCATCGGCCTGGCGATCTCCCTGTCTGTGGTGGGAGCTGCCTGGTGAGCGGCGCTGGCTTTCAGCAGGCTCCTGCTGTCCCACCTCGGTAGCTGTGTTTACACTGTGGTTTCCCCACAGCAGGGCAGGGGTAGGACAGTGTGTACATGCAGGAGTATGGGGCTCTGTGGGTCACCGCAGCAGTGGGGCCAGGTTGCTGTGCTCCTGGGGATCATGGGCGGACCACCTCGCAGGCTGCAATGGCAGTGGAGAGGCAGGGATGTCCCTGGCTCTCTGGAAGCCATAGCCCTGAGCCCAGGCTGTGCAGTGGTAGCTCTTGTGCCTTAGAACTATTGCTGGTGTTGGTGGCAGAGCTTGGGACCACTAACACTAGGGATGGACAGGCCAAGTCTGTGGTGTTCCCCAGTTGCATGCCCAATTCTTTGCTCAGCCAGAAGATCCTGATTTCCCTATTGAATCCTTCAGCGAGACCCTCCACCAACCACCCTTGTCTGCCACAGGGGGATTTACATCACGGGCTCCAGCATCATCGGTGGAGGAGTCAAAGCGCCTCGGATCAAAACCAAGAACCTGGTCAGGTAAGCACAGACCTGGTGTCAGTGTTCATGCTGTGACCGAGCGGGGCAGGACCCGGCCTGGTGCAGAGGCTCCTCTCCAGTCTCTAGCTGGGTGCTCGCTCTTGTTGAGCTGTTTGCTTTCAAAACAAAGAGCCCCAAAGGAGTCAGAGTGCTGCTTTGAAGAGTCACTGTGCAAAGTCACGCAGGGAATGAGCCCGGTGTGTTCAAAACAAACACCCTGAGGTCACGCTTCCTGCCCCAGGTGGTGGTTCCTCTGGCCAGACCTTGCACAGAGGGAGCAGAAGGGGGCTGGCGGAGGGCAGGGCTCCCTGGGCGTGCTTCCAACAGGGCGGTCACAGCTTCCTCGGGCAGCACAGCACAACCAGCAGCCAGCGTTGGTGCTTGGCAGCTCCCCCCTTGTTTGAGGAGAGTAGTGGGTGGGCTGAGCTGCCTTTCTGCCCTTGGCAGTGGTGGGGCAGGCTCAGATGTGGCTGTGGAGGGGTCTGGCTGCTGGCTGGCTGGGCATGAAGTGGCGGGGGCTGCTCAGGGTGGGGCAGAGCCTGGGACACTGTGCTGAGACTGACTGGAACACTGTGCTGAGACTTCACCTTCCTCCCACAGCATCATTTTCTGCGAGGCTGTGGCCATCTACGGGATCATCATGGCAATTGTCATCAGTAACATGGCTGAGGTACGGGAGGACCCGGGCTGCCCTGCCAGCCCTGTGCTGGCCTCAGGGCCACGGTGGGGACAGGGGGCCAGGCATGGGCCAGCGTCGTGAGCGGTGTTCCTCTGGGGACTTGGGGCATTGTTGTGGCTGTGGGAGCCCCTGGACTGGCGGTCTGTGCGGTGGCCCTTCTCCACACTGAGGAATGGGTTGTGGAAGTACACGCGAGGCAAATGTCATGAAGCCACCTGGGGACATGGAATCGGGGACCAGCTCTGGCCTAAATGTGGCTGCCTCATGCCATGTCGGGGACAGGTGTCTCTGCCCGAGACACCACGGGCTTGCCAGTAACCCAGGCCCTGTGCTTTCTCTCAGCCTTTCTCTGCAGTCACCCCAGAGGAGATCGGAGCGAGGAACTACCACGCGGGTAAGGACTGCTCAGTCCCTGGTGCCGTGACTGAGCCTTGCCACCCCCTGGCTGCTGCCTTCTGACCAGCCCACGGCCTGCTGCAGGTGTCTTAACGGACATGTGACTATTCTGCCAAAAAGCAGCTTTTTGGTTACCTTCTTGAGGCCTTCCTGCAGCCAGCTGAGCTGCGCTGCCCAGCAGCAGCACCGCTCCTCCCACGGGCAGCAGCAGATCGCTGTCACCGGCTGGCCCGGCGGCGAGGGGGGCCAAGGACACCCCCGCGCCA